CTGACCAACGACAATTGCAGATATTGCACGACAGCCGGTCACTTTGCACGGGGTTGCCCAAGGCTCAACCAAGGAGAGATGATCGGACCCTAAGGAGAACAGGTAAACTGAAACTCACCAGGGGGGATGAGGCGCGCTATAATTGCTCTCAACAACGCAGACGTCGCTACGGTAGAAGGAGAGGACGTGGTGTAAAAGTTAAATTTATCCTAGAGAATGAAGGGCGGGATAAGGAAAATGTGACCACAAGGCAACGAACGACAGAGAAGAGTATCATAGAAGATGCGGTGATGGAAGAAGGGGGGGAAAGCTCTGGAGCGCTGTAGGAGACCGGAACTCGTGAGCATGAAAAAGTTTATGGGAAACCTAAAGAGGACAGCCATGTGGATAAAGCAGCCATGGCAAAGAAGAAGTTCAGGTACCGGATTCCTATTTTGACCATGCCTAAGATCGACGATACCCTTAGTAAGCTACTAGGAACCATGGTGTCAGTATCGTTCCAAACCATGTAGTAGGCGAGATCCATACGTCTTAAAGGTCTTAGGCAATTACAGACCCACCGAAGAGTAGAAATGGAGGAAAGCCCGAAGTTGCGGGAGGAAGAAAAGGAGGACGAGAGCCCACGAGAAGTCGCCAACCTTCAAAGGATTCTCGGGGATCTGGAAGACCTCGAAAAGGCTTTCACTAACATCCCCCTAAGCTTACCGGATCGTTGTCGAGCGCATCGGTCCGGAACCCTCTCGGTGGTCTAAATCCTCGTCGCGAATATACATGGAGCTTCCTCAAGCCGCTCCGGCCGAGTGCGCCAGCCATACCTCCCGCGAGCCCCTACGACAGGATAGGGCCTACTCGAGGCACGACTTACCTCCACCTTGCGGGAGCTGTCACCTCCCTTCGGTGGGCGTATCCCCACCGAGCTACCAGTCCATAGTACGAAAGCTAATCAGTCGCAATCGTAGAGGTGGACCAGCCGAGGGCGTTTCTCGTTCGCTGTAGCATAGGGGGTACGCGCGATATTACGCCTCTATCGAACCCGCACGCGAACCGGCATCTTGGGGGGTTGAGGTCCCAAGCGCGCCTCGTCGCCGGTCGACTAGGACGCATCCCACACGCCACGCGCACACCACTATAAAGAACATAAAAATAAAAACACACACACCCACGCATATACATATACATATACAGAACGACACTGAACAACAACACGACAACACTCCTAGTCCTTTAATAGCCATCCCATAACTCTCTGATGCGGAAATCGGATAGGCGTCGCGCGCGAGACTTAGTATAAAACCGCGCGGATGCAGGGCTAACTCATATCGATTCGCGATGCAAGCGTACGCAAGCGGTCGCAATGATGGCGTACTATGTAGTACCCATACTCATGCGATCCTCGTT